CCCCCCGTCCTCTTTATCCCTTACTCACTATAGTATCTTTCTCAACAGGTAATTATCATCTTCCCGTTGACAGTGTCCAGGGGATATTAACATGTTCTTTTAGTTTTTGGTAAGTGTTTTATGGCGCTCGCACGCAACTGCATGCGGTCATATGAGCGCTCGGGACACATTTAAACATTTTCAGTTGGCAGGAAATTTTAAATCTTGCCCGGGTGGCGGCCGAAGCCTACTCTTATTAGTCTTATCGATTTTAGTAGACCACCAAGGGATATCTTTAACGTGAGCAACTTGCACACGGGCCTTCCAAGATTTTTTGCCTTTGTCCGAGAAGGCCAGGTGTAGATTTTTCCTACCAGAAGATCAGGGGTGTGGCTGAAAGACAGCAGTAAGAAGGAGCTAAGGAGTAGCACTAGCAGTAGAAAGGCTGCAGAAAGAGTAAGGAGCCCAGAGGAGGGGGCAAAAGAGGTGAGGGGGTGGGGGCAGATAAGTGGAGACGAAAGCAGACGACAGAACATTTCTAGAGCTCAGGGAGTAACAGACAGAGTAAGATAATCTCAGTGTAGTTGATTTAACATACATCACCATTTAATCTAAAGAATGTAGAATCATCCCTTGCTGCTGCCACACTGCCACTGCCAGGCAGCCACGTGTCGTTTCCAAAGGTAGCCCTACTCTCAATATTAATACATGTACATGTACTGACTACAGACTACAGCAGCATCAGTTCTTGGGGTTGGAAATCATTTTGAATTTAGCCCGCACAACGGTCTAATTTCCATTTTAGATCCAGCAATGGTCTTGAACATCTAGCTCTCACTGTCAAAGTTGAAGGCAAAAGTAAAGAGGCAGGGGTAGGACCAGAGCAACCTACTTAGGGAACTTAAACAAATGGGTAACGGGGAAAGATCAGGGAATTGTAGCTTTTTAAAGTAAAGAGCATCCAAGAAAAGGAATGGATGGAGAACCATGATCGCCGATGTCTGTCCAAGATCTGGCACTGGATGATGATGAATGGATCCTAAACGAGTGAAACTTTCACATGGGACCTCCGAAATTTTTCATTATTATCTGAAAAGGCTAGGTGTTTGATCCTTTCCACCCTAAGATAAGGGGGAGAAGGAAACAAGGAAAAATCCCAACGCTGGTGGGAGTTGAACTTGAACTCCAGATCTCGGAATTTATGAGCAAACACATTGCCTGTTGAGCTACTGAGCCCCAACACCCCCACCCCACTAACTTTATTCGTGCATGTGTAAATCAGACACTGCTAAAGGACCGTTCATAAATGACGTCAGTCAAAAATTTGGCAAAAAATTACCCCCCCCCTACACACACACACAATTGACGCCAACCTAAATGTATATGTGCATTTAGATTGAGCCTGTTCTGATCTAGCTTCCAACAGTCAGTGCTCTGGGGAGATACTTAATTTTAGTTTTGAGGCCAAAAAAATAATATATGGTCCTATACTGTGTTAATTTTAGGCCAAGAAAATGTGGTCCATTGTATTTTTCTTCCTTTCTTTTCGTAACC